GGCTGAGCCGGGGCCGGATGCCGCATCCGCCGGGAAGCGAGCGGGAGGGAGGGAGGGAGATGCCGAGGCAGAGCCAGGGAAAGGCTCAAGGAAAAGGGAGCTGCAGAAAGGGAGATGCAAGATTTAACGGGCCGCGAGGGGCGATCCCGGTGCTCCCCGCCTGAGCCACTGGTTTTGCTCCTTGAAAGGTAAATCTCAAAGCCAAAGAGCCCAGGACGGGACAACGGGTCTCCAACCGGGAGCTGCAACCGGTAGGGAGAGCGCTTAGACTGGTTTCAAACTGGGAGCTGCGACTGGCAGGGACGTTGCTTAAACTGGTCTCACTGGTCCCCGCGCAGGGACTCACCCCAGTGCTCTGCTTCTTGGTGTCCAGCAAGGGGAGGTTGTAGGAGGCCGCCAGGCTGGGGGAGGAGAGGACATCTCGCAGGGGCACTCGGGCTTCTCCCAAAAACCTGGGGGCGAAGAGCAACGGGGGAGGGAGGGGGGGGTCAGCAGGAGAAGGGGCCAAGGAGCTGCGGCTGGTGCAAAGCCGGGCACCAGCGACCGAGCCGGAGGGCAGGGGCAGAGGGGGGGGACGCCTGCCAGCATCCCCCTCTGGCAGCTGCCCGGGGAGGACGGGAACGGGCACCAGGTGACTCGGACCCAGCCCACGTGAGACAACCGGGGCGAGCATCTCTGGGGACTTTGTCCCCTTTTTATCGAGGAAAAGCATCTAAAAGTCCACACTGAGGAACCTGGAGCCATAAACCGAAGTGCTGATGGATTTTTATTTGCCAGCGGAGAAAACAGAGGCACGAGGGGTTGGGGGTTTCGCTGGAGGTGGATGAGATCAGAGCTGGCAGCCAAGGCTGGTGTCTGTGTGCCACCATCATCCAGGAGGGTTTTAAACCACCGTAAAAGTGATTTCCCCCTACTGAGTTTCAGCATCTCCCCGGTGCTCGGCTTCTGGTTAACCCTTCCTGCGCCATGCCGTCTCCCACCCCGGCCAGCAGTGCTGGTTCCCCCACGGACCAGGGCTGGCCGGGGAGCGGGTCTGGCGCTGCTGCCCACCTCCTCCCCACCCAGAGCCAGGAAAGCCCTCAAACCGCCCCGTGCTATCCTAACAGCGCGATGAGATCATGGAGCAGATCCTCCTGGAAGACACGTCGAAACATATGGAAGGCAGGGAGGTGATTAGAGACAGTCAACGTCCCTTCACCACGGGCAAATCGTGCCTGACTAATCTGGTGGCCTTCTGCAATGGAGTGGCCGCATCAGTGGACAAGGGAAGAGCTATGGATGTCATCTACCTGGACTTCCGTAAGGCCTTTGGTAAGATCCCCCGCAACATTCATACCTCTAAATTGGAGAGGGATGGGTTGGATGGATGGACTGTTAGATGGGTCAGGAATTGGCTGGATGGCCGCGTCCAAAGAGTTACCCTCAACGGCTCCATGTCCAAGTGGAAACCAGTAACGAGTGGTGTTCCTCAAGGGTCCATACCAGGGCCAATACTATTTAGTATCTTCATCATTGACATAGTGGGATCGAGTGCACCCTCAGCAACTTTGCAGATGACACCAAGCTGAGTGGTGCAGGTGATTGACTCGAGGGACGGGATGCCATCCAGAGGGACCTGGACAAGCTCCAGAAGTGGACCCGTGTGAACCTCACGAGGTTCAACAAGGCCAAGTGCAAGGTCCTGCACCTGGGTCGGGGCAATCACCAGTACCAGCACAGGCTGGGGGATGGATGGATTGAGAGCAGCCCTGCCGAGAAGGACTTGGGGGCACTGGTGGATGAAAAGCTGGACATGAGCCAGCAATGTGCGCTCCCAGCCCAGAAGGCCAATCGTATCCTGGGCTGCATCCAAAGCAGCGTGGCCAGCAGG